ACACACACACACACACACACACACACACACACACACACACACACACACACACACACACACACACACACACACACACACACACACACCACTGACTGTCATCAGTTCTTTTGTTGGATGAAGAAGTTTGTGGACCTTTGACCTACATCTGTCTTGGAATAACCTCAAACCACAGAATCCAGTAAATGGCGTTTCTGCCGCAGGGTCAGATCAAGATCTTCTGATGTTTCTCTCAGAGCGGTAATTTTGGTGTATTTGGCCAGTAGAAGAGGTACTGTATTTAGTACTTCTTCCACTAGCCACAGGTCTCACCTCTGGGGTCCACCTGAGTCAGGTAGTAGAGGGTGGAGCTGGTGGCTCCGTTGGACTGGATCAGGTACCCCGTGAGCAGAGAGACGGCTCGGACGTAATCCTTCTTTGGAGGATATTTCTGAGGTGGACAAAGGAGCAGTCAGTGATTGACTGCACTGTCCACTTGGCATATATAACCTCACACATCACACCTCAGTGTGCATCTGTATACTGATGATACTGTGCTCTATTCTCTGGAGTGGTATTTACAATTAAAACTTTCACCTACTGATCTGAAGTCTGTGATTGATTGTGCAACCATGAATCTGCTGGGGTCTGACTGGGTCCTAGTGATAAAGCTCCCCTATGGAGTCTGCTCTTCTAATAAAATGTTTTTGTGTCTTTATGTTCCATATGTCACTAAATGAGTATAAAACCCACCAAGTCACAGTCAGAGCAGTGAAATACTGACCGGGTGTTTGACCGAGTAGTTGATGATCATGTAGTCGTTGCCGAGTGGAAGCCAAGATCTCATCGTCACAAAGTCTCGGTTTTTCAGCGGGCTCGGGCATTTCCCTTCAAACAGAACACAAACACATCCACAAAGGTTCAGACAGAATCAGATATTTGGCAACTAAAAACCAGCTAACCCTTTTGGACCAGCACAGACTCCAGCTCAACCTAACCTCAGTTTGATCTGAATTAAAAAGCAGAAAGTTAGAGGCCGCCCAGGTCCTTTAGACCTGAGTCTATTAGATAGATATGATACAAACCACTGCAGCGCAGTACCTGTAATACCTACAGCATGTCCTAATCGCTCTAATAGGATATTATGGTCGACAGTATCGAACGCTGCACTGAGGTCTAGCACTGCTATGCAGATGATACCGAGCTCTATCTGTCCATGAAGCCAGATAACACATGGCAATTAGTTAAACTGCAGGAATGTCTTAACCTCCTAAGACCCAAACTCTTCCACAGCATGCATTTTTAATTTCTCTTTGATATTTGGGCATATTGGGACCTGATGAATGTAAAAACAAAGTATTGCC